ATTAATTTAAAAAAAAAATTAAATTACTTTATCAACTGGACGATTTTCACCAACAAATAATTCATTTGTATGTTGAACATGAGAATATTCTCGATGAGTGAAACTAATTGATTCAGCAAGTGTATCCTAAAATTGAAATGAAGTTTATTAATTTTTGATTTTAAGAAAAGTTGGAATTACTTTATTAACTGGACGATTTCCATCAACAAATGATTGATTTCCATGTTCAATGTGAGATAATTCTGGTTGATCTAAACCAATAGATTGAGGTAGTGGATCCTAAAGTTGAGAATTTGTTTATTTAGTTGTTAATTTGAAAAAAAAGGAAATCACTTGTTTATATTCACGATTGGGGTCGTTAGAGGAAGGCATTGAGTGAAAAGTTGGATTATTTACTGTACTTGTTTCATTAAATGTTTCATCTATTGCTGAAACTAAATAATAATAAATTAGAAATGGCGTTGATGTTGTGAATCGTATAGTACCTAATGATGGTTCAGATGACTTGTGTAAATGTGCGGATGGTGACAGGGGGCGATAGGAGAAGGCGCGAGAAAGTTGCAAAACTTTCGAGAGGGCTTTTCCTCGTGTATTACTCATACTAATTGTTTCCTATCTATGAATTGTATGAAAAATTGTTTGGGTTTATGAGGAGAAAAGAAAAATATGACAGACCGGGAATGTTAGATGAAATGGAATATTTTTGTTTAGTTTAGTTGTTATGTTTGTTGTAGAAAATAGATAGAATCTTGTTGATGAATGTGTTTTGTGAAGAGTACGTACTGATTTGATGGAGAATTGATAAAATCAAATTCACTATTATTGTTTTTATCAGAAGTACTAGTATATATAATCAGATAGGAGTAGGTATATGTTAAATCTAATAAGCAGAAGAGAACGAAAAAATGAGTATTTTTGAAAGATGATGTAGATTATTATCGATTTGGATCGATGAGAAATGAATCAATCGATTTAATGATTCCCTGTGACCTTCTCAATGTTTTATTAAATTTTTATTATTATTAATAAGGTCCTCTTTCGTATGTTTTGTCATTGGTTGTCACTTCGTACAATTAAAATACGAACAAGATCACGTTATTCATATATAGGATATGACTATAAATATGTATTAGTAAAACTTAAACTCTTAAACATACTATTGTTAAAGTCTTTAGCATGAATTAAGAAAATAATTCTATTGTCAATTTTCATTGATCTCAATCTCAAAAACTTCTATTATTCTTAAAATGAAAAATATATTTATTTTGCAAACGAAACTATTCAACGAGATAATTATGATTATAATAAGAATAATAATAATATAGATGATATAGCAATACGTGGTCTTATTGATTATATTGATTATGGTTATGAAGCTAATTCATTTCTTCTGAGTATTGGTGTTATGTCATATCCAACAGCAGAAAATTTAGCTGAATTACTTATTGAACGTCAATCAAATTATTTTAGACAAATAAAAGATATTAATAATGAGCTTCTTTTAGCTAAATGATGCGTTTATACAAATTGTTTAAAACAATTTGCTGCTGTATCAAATGTCGCACGTGAATTTTATGTTGAATCATTACCAAGTTGTTTAATGAATAAACCATGATGTTTAGCTTATCAAACATTGTCCTTCACTACTGGTTGTGACTATATGATGAATAATTTGTTAGGGAAAAATAAAAAAAGTGAAGATCTGTTCTGTTTGTGTATAGTTTGATAAGTATAATAATAACATGAGCCATTGTCAATAAACATGGGTGGGAAATAAGAATTTGAAAAATTTAGGAGAAAGTTTCTCTGATATATGAAGTTTTCAGGATATAAACTCCTTTCTATAGATAGTGTCTATAGTCTATTTTTTGTTGTTGAAAAATTCATCATTTGGAGGGGATGAAGATACTCGATTTTCTAGCCCTAATCGTGATACATAATCATATTTCAAATGTCGAATGATTCAAGAAGTAAATATTCTTTTGGACTGAAGCTTGTAGAGTATTCTAATAGCTATATGAGCTACTCATTTTCAAATCTTCAGATTAAGATCTCGTAATTCGATTTCGTCTTATAAGCCTTTCTATAGATCGAAGCTGCAGTTAGACGGCCAGAACTCAAGAAATATATGGAACGAAAACTTTTGAGTTTTTTTCCAATCTCGTTGAACTCTACAGTTAGATATCATAGAAATTAACTTAAAAATGTCTAAATATGATTCTTCATATGTTATGAAACGATATTCAGCATAAGAAAAATTATTATTTTGAATATTCTTATAATGCTTTTTCCGAAAATATTCATAAATATAACAAAGATCGAACCATATGGTTACCTATTCATATAGAAAACAATCTGTCGGCTGGTTGATGGTAATTGGTAAAATCGGATAAAAACAGTTTTCACAGTTTGTCTTATCTATAATGTAGTATGAACAGCAAAATTAAAAACTTTACGTGAAGCATTTTTTTCTTGATTTTTTTCAAGATGTTTAACAGCAAAATGGGAATTTCAAAAGGAACCACAAATAATTGATGATACAGTTTATTTTTTGAAGATGGAGAGAGCAAGACAAAAAAAATCATAATATGCAGTTAATAATATTCAATAAAAACGTTCGATATATATAGACAAATGAATAGTTTTCCACCATCATGACAAGACAATTATTCTACAATAATTAACACGTTATGTTGACGCATTTTCTTCATTCTCTTCATCTGATTGTTCTTCAACATCGTTTTCTAGTGATACGTCAATGACAGAGGCCTAAATGTAATTCGAAATAATAATGTTTGAACGGTTAAAACCGAATATAACTCACCATTACTTGAGTCCATGGATAGAGAATATTAACTGGAGGTTGAATGTTTGATTTTTTTGCTAGATAGAGATTATCTGGGTAAATTTTCGTATGAAAACAATTTCTTAAATGGAAAATAATACAATAAAACATGTTGGAATATGGCCATGTAATGGATCGTAGCGTTGATTTTATTTTAGTGAAATGTGCAAATAATTGTTCGCATACCTGAGTATTTTGATTCTCAAAAAATTGCTTGTTGTCTTTATGTTCACATGATAGAATTGTTTTACATTCTGGTCGTACATGATTACGTCGATGAAAACGATCGATACAATATTTTTTGCTTATCAGTTCATCAACGTAAGGTGATGGTTTGATAGACATACCATATTGATTTTTTAAATAGGCAACGAAAGTACAAGCAGAATCATAGGCAGCAGCAGATGGCAATTGACCATTAAAATGTAGTATTTTGAGTAGCTGGTAAATAGATCGGCGCATACCTTCAGCACGTACACTTTCACCCCAACCAATAATGACATTACAATTTGAGACAACAGCCATAAATCCTGCAGTTCTTCTTTTATGTTCTGTATCATCGTTATCACGATGAACAGTGCATATATCATTGTCATTAAATTCTTCAGCAAGTTGATCAAGTTCAATTGCCTGTGTAATAACTGGATTATTTTGTATATTCAGTTCCAAAGCATATTTATAATGATATGCACAATATTGTTTACATTTGTCTTTTTCCGAACCTTAAAATATACAAAGCATCATCATAAATGACTTATATATGAAAATAAAAAATTTACTAGACATATTTTTCAAAAGAGTTGATGAAGATCGAAGAGGTATACGAGGACAACCAACAGCTACAGGACCAAGCTCAGGTATTGATTCATCACAAGATCCAGTATACGCACACGCTAAACGATGTGCTTTCATATGTGTGTCGAATACGAAATTAAGCATGCATTGTTCTTTTGGTTGACATTGACAATTTGATACTTGATGATGATGGGACCAAAATTTCACGAATAATTCATAAAAAAATTTTGCATTCACTTCATAATATAAATCGTGTGATATGCGTTGAATAACATCTGGAATTTCTATCATATCTAAATTTGTCATAAAAAAAAGATAACGACATATTTCAAACCAAGTCCATGTCTATAAATGAAATGAACATAAAATGAAAAAGAAACGATTCAACAAACACTACATACTGCTGAAAAAGACTTGCAGTGCAATTTGTTGATGCTTGAAGATTCACTATTTGAGTGTCGGTTCTGATCAATATCCGAATTCGTTGCTTTCGTGTAGGATTGAAAGCTTGTTGCAGCTTCATAAACCAGATTTGTAAATGTAACTAATAATCGACGTTCATAGACCACATGATCGAATAAATGTAAAAATTTTTGATAAAAAATTGCAGTAGGTGTTACAAATCGTTCTCGTGTTCGACGATTACGTACGTGACCATATTTATAAACAAGATCACAACATTCATTTTTATACATGACACCGGAATAAACATTATCACGTGTAATAATACTACTAATCTCATCGAATTTTGGTTCTCCTAATCGATTGTGACACATAAGGCACGTTGTTGAAGGCGGAACTAACTGATGAATTAGAAAACGATGAGGCTGAAGCTCGAATCTAAACTGTAATTTTTCAATTGCTAATAATAAACGCTCATGTTCATTGTTTAATAATACTTGTTCTACTAATTCTGGTATCCGATTAATCGACATAATTTTTGGCCAAATATCAGCCTTATAATCACTACTAGTAGTTTCATTGATAATAGCCAGAATGGTTTGTTCTCGTTTCATAGGATCATTGACAATATTCATTGGATAGAGTCTTATAAGACGTACGAAAAGAGCAACATGTGCAGGTGGAACATATTGAAAAAGGTCTAATAAAAAATCTTTGTTGGACATTGATATATTTATTTGAATAAGCAGAAATCCTACACAGTCTATAATATAGATATATAATATTTTATAATAAAACTGAATTAATTGATAAGATTAATTTCATTATAGTAAGCCGTAGCATTTTCTCTTCTTTATTCAGTATAAAAGGAAATCAAAGAGTATGAAATTACAGAAACAACTTAACAGATAAAAAAAACTTAGATGAAATCTTATTGACAAGAGGAGAACAAAAAACTAAATGATAAAAAACTACTGGAATAATGTTCGCAGTGTACTTCTACCAAAGTAAAGAGGAAACCATTTACAATAAATATATACAATTAAAAATACACACACATTGATAGGAAAGAATAAAAACGAATATGTATTATTCAGTTGTGGAACATTATCTATACAATCGGAATAGATATTTACTATTTCAAAATGGAACAAATAAGATCAAATAGATATAAGTATGAATATGAACAAAGTAGTCGTACGTTCAAATAATTACTAATCTTCATCAGCAAATCGTTTTCGTTTTCGTTGCCGTTTTGGTGAAGGTTCATCATTTGATTCGTTGCTTCGTTTAGCACCAAGTCGTTTTAATTCTTTGCTAGTTCGTTGGGAAGCAGTCAACTTAGATCGTGTTTGATCGAAAGAATCATGAACTAAATATCAAAGAATAAAAAGTAGTTCACAAAACAGAAATACATAATAGTAACTATCGTACCATTGTCATCTGATACTGTAACTACAGTTGCCATAGGCTGATTCATTTTTGTATCAGGACAAATGAGTTTTTCCTTGAAATATATACTAATATATCCTTCATTGAGTTTATCATACCAAAAAATATTCAATAACCAATTATGATATGTTGTATTAAACATGTTGTTGTTAACTGAAGTTGACATAGGCAGCGTCTCCCTACCGAGAACTTTATTAACATAATCATCTAATGTAATACCAACTTTTTCTCGAAGTTTTGTTTCAAATGCTGATGTATCAGATGCAGACCGAGAAGTTGGAAAGAGCTTCAAATAGCCAATTTCAGGTTTGAACATTTTTTTAGTTGGACTGGCTGACAAAAACAAGTCGTTGATTTGCTTGATAAATTCATGTTCTTGCAAGTATTTAATTACTGCATTCTTTATTTCAGCACTATTATACAAACGAGTAGCATCAGTCTTTGTGAAAGCAATGGAAGGTTTAAGCATAAGCCGTTTTGATAATGCAACAATGTCTAATTTGAAAAAGAAACTATATAATACCATATGCGACATTAAGAAATCTTACCAAATGTTTTGACTGATTGAATATTTTCTTCATTAGGAGTTTTACTTGAATCTTCTGATTTCTTATTATGCACGGATGATATTGTCTTTCCAGATGATGATGTTTCAAAGTTTGAATAAGAATCTAACCAAGAATGCTATACATATATTCACAAAAAGCTATCGGTTATCTCACCAATTTGCATAGGATCAGAACCAATGTTTTTGTTTTCTTTTTCAGTACCATATTCACTGACGATTGACGACGATAATACAGAAGATGGTTCCTAGAAAATATAATTATTTATTTTTCTAAATTTTGTTTGAAAGAGTGAAAACCTTGCACGATTCTGGTTGATTATATAAACAGTGATCGATATCGTCGATAGTCATAGAATCCGTCGTTGAATCATCATATTCAATTGAATTAAAAGCTGAAGAAAATGGAAAGAATGTATTTTATATAATGCATATATGAGTCATATACAATCAATAGATTTGTTATCACTTGTACCAATGAAAATAGATTTTTCATATGACATTGCACCATTTGATACAGTTTGTGTTAAGTCATTATGCATCTCTGTAGTATTTTGTGGGATGAAAAAAATAACAGTAAACAACAAAAAATGAAACTACATACGATTTTTTTGACTATCATGTGGACATTGTTGAATATATGCAATATCATCCTGAATATTAATGGTGTTGATGGTGCCGTTTTCTAAAGCTGAATAGGAAATATCAAGTTTCATGTTTGATATAGTATGTATATATCTTACCTTTCTGAATATTTTCCAAAACAAATAGACAATCATTTTTGATTTCGTTATCAATATTTGATATCATAAACATAGCATTAACTGTGATAAAAATATACCGAAAGATATTAATAGAAGGATGATTCAAAACATAATGAAACTTACCTTCTTCATCATTTGATGAAGTTTGATTTTTGAATATCTTCGTTCGATCATATTCACCTGAAAAAATATTCATGGAGATTATTAATGAATATTGTTTTAATTTTGATTGCTCACCATCATCGATTGATATATGCATATTGATCACATTAGATTGAGACAAATCTATAACAGATGTACTATTTGTGCTGATCGCATAATCACAGTGGATCATTGGAGATTTGTTATGTTTGATTAAATCAACTTTTTGATCAATTGCACGAACACACAATCTATTCAATTGCATCATAATATCATCATCTTTATTAAAATGAATAACATGTTCAGGTGCCAAAGAAAATGTATTCGAATCAGGATTAATACCAATTTGACCACTATGCAAACCAGGCTTCAAGATTTGTTGAGCAACAGGATCGGTAGCATTACCCAAACGATGTACAATTGAAATGTAGTCGCTTAAATGCAACTTAATATGATCGATTGCTGATTTTTCAATTTTTGCACATAGTTTAGGTGTAGGCAATATACATTGTTGCCAGATTTGTTCATAATCATTGATATTCAAGTTTAATTGAGTTAATGCATTAATTAATGTAGTATTGTTTTTGATTTGATTAGGTGGAATCATGGCATAACTTTTGTGAGCTCCTTTTAAGAATCGAACTTTGTTGGAGCATTCATATATCAATTCATTATTAATCAAATATTCAATTCCCATCATGTATCGTTCCTTGTTGTGATGAAATTGTCGATGATAAGTAAATGTTGATGCCGAGAAAAAGATAAATTTGGATAAAATAATAATGGAGGCGTCGGCATTTATAGAATTGTATATTTGTCCATTTTCCTGCTTGATGCTGTTTCTATTGAAATAAAAAAAAATAAATAAAAAAAATATATGTGTTTGGAGTACTTTATTAACAAATGAGATGTTAATGGTGAAGAATTAAACGTCTCTTGAATCGATGATATATTAAACAGGCGACGAGATACATTATCAACATGAGCAAAAAATAAATCACCCATCATAGAAGTATCTTTTTCAATAATCAGAATTTTGGTCCCATCACTTTTACGCAAATTTGATGGAAATAATTTTTCGATAACAACCTTGACAGCGTCAATAAAAGAGTCCGACACTCGATATGGTGATTTGACAACTTCTGATATTTCAATGAATGGATACACAGAATCGTCCCATAAAATATTCATAATTGTTCGAAATCGGGCAAAATTGCATATAAAACTAAATAGATGTATAGAACTCTATCGTTATACGTGTAAAATAATAGTACATAGTTTACCGAGGAATTTTTGTTGAATTCTTGAAATCAATAATGGCTTCATGTTCCTGTTTTTCTGTTGATGTTGCTTCTTGCCACTGATTGTAAACCCGATTAAACATATAATAATAAGCACTTTTGCTTTGTTCAGGTGTAGCATCAGCTTCAAGTTCTTCAAATTCAATTTCGGTTTGTGATGATGAATAATAGTATTGACGGTTGGCCGTAGGTCGCAATCGATTCCATTTCTCCTCCACATCCGGATTAAGTACATCTTAAACAAAGAAAAATTATATGGTCAAACGCAAAAAACCTCGTTTACTTATATGTTTTCGTTCAGATTTATCATAGACATTCTGTCGTGCCACATATTCAACTTTTCCAAGCAAGATGGAAACTGTATAGACATGTTGAAGAGACGGAACCATGTTTGAGATCACACCGGTCGAACCAGAATTGGTTTTGATAGCTTTCATTATCGGACATGGATAATGAGTAAATCGATTATGAGCACCACTGATGCCCTTACCTCTGCATATGTTAATTGAGATTTAGGAAAATACTTCTATTCAAACATTTTACTCACTCATAATGTTGCGAAGACACATATGCATATGGATCACCAACACTTGCACCAATGATGGAAGCACGCCGTCCGTCTGGAATACTATATGATGTTGACAGAGTTGATCGATTTTGTTGTTTAGTACCATCGAACATTTGAATAAGCATATTTACATTTTCGGCGAATCGTGAATCGTTAAATTGGTTACCATACACACCCAAATTAGACAGTAACGTATCACACTCGGTAGAACATAACAAACGATTGCCAAACGTTAAGCTTCGATATATATGCAGAGCAGTTGCCTAGTTAAAAATAACATTAAATATAGAAACTGCAAAAACCATTTAAAACATCTTACATTTGAAATGATGAATGGTAGATCAAATGATAAACCGTTTTTATCGTTCGCATATTGAATGTATTCCTGATTTATATCCATTTGTGTCAAAGTTCGACCCAGAGCATCCAAATGAGGAGCCAAAGCTGTTGATTTACCACTACCTAAAATGTTAGCGATATTTAATATCAAGAACGTGAAATGAGTCTGGTAGAATTAACCTGATGTTCCTATAATATGTCCAAACAAATTTGTACCATCTGAATTACCGTTATTAACATAGTGGTAATAATAAGAATTGTTGTTGATTCCAGACAGAAAATGTATTAATATATACAGGTTGAGACCTCGATCAACATTTGAATCTGTGGACCATGACATGAGCGTAGACTTTTCAAATGATGTTAATTGTGGTAGTTGCTTGCTTGGATCAAAAATTTCTTCATCTGTACATAAATGGCTACGAGTTTGTGAATGCATTAATAAGAAATCACGTAATGTTGGTTTTTGTGGACGAGATAACATATTCAGGAAAATCAGTTCAAACGATATATTCAATTAAACGTAAACAAATAAAAGACACAATCAAAAACCAAATTGATAAAATGCAAATTTATAATCGGATGATATACGGTTGTGTAAAACGATGAACGTCGACTTTCCATACATAACCTAAAAGATATATAAGTTTACCATATTTCTATGCAAGTCGATTCAAAATAAGAATAACAACAATACATCTACATTACTGAATTCACACGGTGACTTTTTATAGTAACTGATATACAAAGAGAAGAAAAGAAAACAACAAAGAAATGAAAAGTAATCACACCGAATGAGATAAATACAGCCCTCGATCCTTTGTTCGTCATCATAGTACATATATTAAATCGCTGTTAGACTGCTAGTAAAATATATTCGTCCGCCAGGGACGACTAAACGACGAGAAAAGAATTATCGCTAGGTACAAATCCAATCATTATTTTTTTTTCAACTAAACTGCACCAAAACAGTATCAAGGCCGCTATTAAAGACAAAGAAATACAAACATCCCATTCACCAATAAAATAAATCGACACTTCTATTGAGAAAATATTAATCACATGCAAAGCATATACTTCTATCAACCTAAAAGGTGGAAGTAACCGCATATCATTTCAGATAATCCATGTACAAATATTCATAAATGAACAAATAACTGAACAAATCATTTTTACTGGATATTCGAGACACGGAAACCATCATTGCTCTAACTTCTTCCTAAATTATAAATTATAAATTATAATTTGGAAAATTTTTTTTTTCTTTTCCCAGACTTATATAAATGTGCCTATTCGAATTATAAATTATAAATTATAAATTATAATTTGGAAAAAATTTTTTTTCTTTTCCCAGACTTATATAAATGAGCCTATTCGAATTATAAATTATAAATTATAAATTATAATTTGGAAAAAATTTTTTTTTCTTTTCCCAGACTTATATAAATGTGCCTATTCGAATTATAAATTATAAATTATAAATTATAATTTGGAAAAAATTTTTTTTTCTTTTCCCAGACTTATATAAATGTGCCTATTCGAATTATAAATTATAAATTATAAATTATAATTTGGAAAAAATTTTTTTTTCTTTTCCCAGACTTATATAAATGTGCCTATTCGAATTATAAATTATAAATTATAAATTATAATTTGGAAAA